GGGGCAGAGGGAGCAGCCCAAGGGGCCTTTGAGGGACGATAGGGGCTGGGCCTGTTAGGGGGAGGGTCTCGGGGCAGGTGTGCGGAGATAGCGACGGGGGGCGGACAGAGGGGGGGTTGCGCTTGAGCGATGCGGGAAATGGGGCGGTGGTCTGGAGGAATGGAGGGTCTGCACGAGCCGCGGGCAGTGGAAAAGGCTGTAGAGGCCCCGAGGAGCCGGGGGAGGGTGGGCGTAGGGAACGGGTGTCGGTCTGCAGAGGCGGCGGGGTCCACGGAAGTAGCTCCGGGGAGAGGGGATGAGGGGCCTGCCGAGAGGATCCGCGGGAGGGGCGGGGTCTGCAGAGGCGGCTGGGCCCGGACCGCGTCGGGAGGGTTTGCAGGCGCGACGAGAGGTCTCGGGGACCACGGACGGCGGAGGTGGTGCACAGCCAGTGCTGGGGGAGGAGCGGTCGGTGGGAGGAGGGGATGGTGGGATGGCGTGTGGGGAGGTCTGTTCAGAGGGCACATCAAGTAACGGCTCCTTCTGAGGCGCTCCCAGCAGGAGAAGGGTTTGCAGGGTCTCGGCACACACACGCTCGCGTTGCCAAATTGCACGTGCTGGAATGCAGCAGGCACAGTGCCGCCGAGACACGCGCCGTGTGACAGCCGCTCTGCTGGGCTGGGTGCAGGGCTGTCTGTCAGGCGCTCATTACCACGAGCGCAGGTTATTTTAAGTTCTGAAGGTGTAAGTGGCTCGGGGGAATTTCCTAATAGATCCCCAGAGGAACGTTGTAAACAGCAGAGGCTGCTCCTGTGCGAGGTAGGTCGCGTATAAAAGAATAAAAACAGCCCAGGGTTATATATCTCTTGTCGTCTGGCAAGCCGTTCTGACATTTGCCCCGTGAATGCAGTGACCTACTTAGCCACTCAGAGCATCTGTACCCTGATAGCGAAATGGTGACATTATTAAGTCACTCCCTGCCTTTGGAATGGGGGATTGTGCTAAGCAGGGGTATATGTTGTTTTATTCCTAGAAATGTGTTTGTCAAGGGAGAGACATCCTGATAATCGGTGAGCTGTTAGGGGTGCCTTTGTCAGATGATGCACCGTGCGAACATCCCTGCCCACGATTGGGGTTCACCCCAGCTTGCTTGTCCAGCAGCAACACAAAGATGGAGTTTCATGTTCTTAAAATAAGAGCAGTTTGGGGGACCCGATTTTGCCTCTACTTTTTGCCACATCAGACTCAGCGTGTAACATTCGTTTCCATTTTGCCAGTTAATTGCTTGGCTACCAAGATTGTCAAAGAAAAGAAATATTTCTGTGTGGTGGGCGGCTTTACCTTTACCTACGGAGCACTTTGCTGTATTATTCTGACAGTGTGAAGACCTGCTTTGTCGACTTCCCACGATAAAATATATGCCTGGAGTCAAGGTCTCAGAGATTGTGCCCTAGGCACTGAAAATTTTAATCAGGCTCCTGGAAACAGTGGAGTGTACATGATAGAGGTGCGTGGGCATCACACAGGGTTGCGGACCTTCAGAAAGCAAAAACAACAACAATAGAAGCAAACCAACACCCCCCCCACCACCACCCCCCAGCATGGGTGAGGATTAGATTTATTCAAGAAAGAGTTCCTATAAGAGGTAAGCTTTAGGTTTTGAAATTAAAGAGGGGCATGATTTCGGATTAACAGTAATTATTTGAAAATCAGGCTATTGAGGTGTAATTTACATATAGCAGAATACAACCTTTTAAAGTGAGTTTTGAAATCTCCACAATCATGATACAGAATAATTCCATCACCCCAAAAGTTTATTCATGCCCCTTTGTAAGTCAGGTGATAATTTTAGTGTTGTTAATTATACTTACTGTTATTGAGCACATATGTGCTATACACTTTGCTAAGCCCTTTAGATCAGTGGTTCTCAACCTTGGCTGCACATTAGAATCACCTGGGAATCTTTTTAAAATCCTGATTTCTGGGCCTCATCCTCCGGAAATTCTGTTTCTTTGTTATGGGGTGAGGCCACACACCCCATAACAAAGAAACAGAATTTCCGGAGGATGAGGCCCAGAAATCAGGATTTTAAAAAGATTCCCAGGTGATTCTAATGTGCAGCCAAGGCTGAGAACCACTGCTTTAAATGCATTATATTTCATTTTACCCTAGAAACAACTTTATAGATGAAGAAACCGAGTCTCAGTTATTACCTGTTACTGCCTAGCGCAGGGGTGGGCAAACTTTTTGACTCGAGGGCCACAATGGGTTCTTAAACTGGACCGGAGGGCCGGAACAAAAGCATGGATGGAGTGTTTGTGTGAACTAATATAAATTCAAAGTAAACATCATTACATAAAAGGGTTCGTTTTTTTTTTTTTTTAGTTTTATTCATTCCAAACGGGCCGGATCCGGCCCG